CCATGCAGCTCCGCCACTTCCGGATGGGTAGCGGAAACTGTAGCAGCTCTGCTCAGACTCTAAATCATTCAGACTACCCCCTCCCATCAACAAGTGCTGCGTTAACGTGGCACTACGTCAACCAAACTCCCCCCGTCGACAAAAACCCAGGAGACAAGTAATGTATGGTGGCCAAAGCCACCATATGGCTCCATCAAATGGTTTAAAAGATTTATTTGCATTCTCTGTTTATTTCCACTCCAGAAAAATCTCATCTCCAAAACTACATTCTCTGTTCAAACCCCTCAGGGACTGGGGACAGTGGTGTAGTGCTTGTTTTCATTGTTCTCAAACTTAATGAATCGTGTTGATCTTCAGGTAAAATGCCAATATATAAATAATTACCTTGATTTGCCTCTTTGACCAAAGGTGGAGTACATTCTGGTGATCTCCTCTCCAATTCCTTCCTCTGTCTCCAGAGTTCATGCGGAGTCCCTGTGTGGACGCTGGCCTCATCTCTCCTCTAGTTCAGCTGTTAAACTCCACTGACCAGGAACTCTTACTGCAGACGGGCCGAGCGCTGGGCAATATATGTTATGACAGCCGTAAGTAAGACTTTGATTTACTTTGTGAGTGCTGAGATAGAGGGGTTGTTATTTCTAAAATGGGTACTAAAAAGCATGAACAGTTTGTGAATAATTGAATTTGTTCGTTGTGTGAATTTTTGTATTTTAGCAAAAACTGTATCCAAGTTCATGGGTTTTACATCGTAAAGCATTTACTCTGTCTTTACTTCTTTAACAGAAACTAAGCCAAAGTGCATCAGCAGGTGGAAAAAATGAACACATCTTTTCTATACCATTCAAGTACATGTTAACAACAATGGAAAATAACAATTGCTACCGAAGAGAGGCAACTGTTGCTTTCCATCGGTAAAGGGTCATTTGCAAACCATTTGGTGTCCACCATTCTACAGAGAAAATTATTATTCAAAACATTTAAGACGGCTACCAGTTTATCTGGGGGTCCCAGCAAGTTCACCCCAAGTTCAGGCCGCGTAATCCTCAGAGAAATGACAAAAAATCAAAAAGTTCCGTCTGACTCTTCATGCCTCAGTCAGGTTAAAGGTCATGACAGGACAGTTAAAAATGACTGAACAAATATGGCTTGTTTGGAAGGGTTGCAGCAGAAAACGTCTTTTCTATGAAAGTTTATCTGAATGAAACACAGAACTTATTGGATCAAAGTCCTTTGGACATACAAGACAGATGAGATCAAAGTAGAGATGTTTACCCATAATGCATAGTGTCAAATTTATCAAAAACAATACAGCATATTCGCACCTACAGCACAACCCTCCTGTCAGCACGTTAGTGGATGGATGATGGTTTGGACTCCTTGCAGTCATTGAGGTGTCCATGAACTCCTCAGAGACCAAAGGGTTCATAGTCACATGTGAGTCCATCTGTCCAACAGCTTAAGTTTGCACCAAACCAGGTCCAACAGGACAAAGATCCCAAATACAGCAGCTGATCTACAACAGAGCAGGTCAGAAATAACAAAAAACTTCAACTTCAGTCCTCGGTTTGATTGGAAAGCTGGTGGGATATTTAAAGCTTGAGATAAATGGACGTCTGCATAGCGCTGCAGATGAAGTGGTGATACAAGCACCAGATGTGACCTGAATAATGTCTATGACCTGCGTTTTAATAAAATCATGGAATCCACCTGAAAATTAAAAATGGCTGCTTTTATATGGAGAAAAACTGCTTTTCATATGATGAGTAGGGCAAAGTAATTATGTGTCATTGTCAAAATCTTGTGTAATCACACACAATTTATAAAATATTTCATGCGTTTCAAATCATTACTTCACTCATTCAAGTCCCTCTTTTATGGTAAAAATACACTTTTATATCTGCAATTTGAAAATTAACTTTTTGGACTCCAGAATTAAATTTAACTTGCCCCAAAACCTATATTTTGCTACAAAGACTGGAAAATTTGAATGATTCCACCTCGTAGGGGAAGGGCAGCCAACTCGGGATCCAAAGGTCCTGAGTTCAATCCCCAGCCATTGCACATCTCGTGGTGTCTCTGAGCAGGACACCCCATCCCCAGTTGCTCCCCAGGTGCCTCCAAAGGCCACCCACTGCTCTGCCTGGAGGTGGATGGGTTAAATACAGAAAGACGATTTCACCATTGTATGGGAACATACAATGATGACAACACATTATTATTAATATTATTATTGTTATTATTATTATTTATTATTATCATCATCAGTTCAGGTCAAAACCACAAACCATAACTTCTGAAGGTGGACATTTTAGGAAAACAATTCCCATGTTTTTCTACATGTACACCATCGAGATCATTTGTTCCAAATTTTATGCTTTTATCACCAAATGAAAGATTAATTAATTAATCTACAGCACTTGCACACCTCAATGAACTGAAGCAACATTATTGACCTTATTCCTCGCCCCCAGGCTGCCTTTTGTGAATTATGGGTGTGACTTCTGGCTCAGACCAGAACAAGCATTTGTTTATGTGCGAACAGTCCGAGCTAATGTAGTTTCTCCAAGCATTGTGGATTTAATATAAACATGTAGGAACACCAGCTGTCAGAGCTCAAACAAGACAATTTAATCACACCACTGCCTGCTGAGGACGAGGGATGGAGGACGAGCTGAAGAAGTGGATGATGATTACATAAGATAAGAGAACTTTATTGATCCTGCAGGAAATTGTTGTGCCAGAGTTTCAGTACAAAGGAACATATATCACACAAGATATAAAAAAACAACTGAGAAATAAAAAAAATAACAGAATATAAAATACCAACAATTAAGGTCTAAAACTGGTCTAAAAAATTAATGTTTTCAAGGTTCTTTATTGTCATTCGCATCACATGTGGTACATGAGGTGGAACAAAATTGTGTACTCAAGGTCCCAGTTACATCCAATAATAGCAAAAATATAAAGTATAAAAAGAAACAGTATATAAGGATCTAAGATATAAACTAAACACTAATACGGTCATATAAAATAATACGATGTATTAAACAGCAGACTGAACATGAGTCTGTAGTGAGCAGATGGGTATGAATACAGCAGCCTAAAAGAAAGAGATCAGCAGCATGGATAATCAGCAGCACAGATAAGTGACATATCACCAGTTAAATGTCATTACAGTGATGATGCTGATTAAGGATTCATGAGTCTAACAGCCTCAGGGTAGAAGCTGTTCCTCAGTCTAGTGGTTCTACACTTAATGCTCCTCAACCTCCTTCCTGAGGGGAGCGGGGCAAAAAGTGTGTGTGCTGGGTGAGTGAGGTCCTTCATGATGCAGGTGGCCCTCTTCCTGCATCTAGAGGTGTAGATGTCTGTGATGGTGGGGAGACTGACTCCAACAGACTTCTGTGCAGCCTTCACCACTCTCTGCAAAGCTTTTCTTTCTGCAGCTGTGCAGCAGAAACTGTGTGTTTATTGTGGTGCAGGATTAATTTTATTGTCCTATGTGTAGGGGGTGGGGGGTGGGGGGAAGGTTTGATAGCCACAAGGAGGAAGGACTTCCTGTGTTGTTCTGTGGAGCACCTCGGTGGTCTCAGTCTACAACTGAAGGTGCTGCGGTAAGAGTCCAGTGTGTCATGCAGGGGGGGGGGGGGGGGGTGATGTGTTGTTCAGGATCTGGAGCAGTTTCCTCAGCATTCTCTGCTCAGACACCTCTGCCAGAGACTGCAGGTCCACTCCCAGAACTGAGCCAGCTCTCTTGATGAGTTTATCGAGTATGTTGGCATCAGCTTTCTTCACCCTGCTGCCCCAGCACACCACAGCATAGAATATTACAACTACTAGCATATTTAGCTACATCTACTAGCATATTTAGCTACTTCACTGACTGTTCTTCTGACGGTGAAGCGATGAACAACCTGAAAAGCCCTGAGGTGTATCAGTATCTACAAAGTAATAAGGTCGGTGGTGTTTTGTTAAAAGAGGTGGGACACAATCTTATTGACCTTAAATCAGACACAGAGCTCAGCCAAAGCCTTAAATTCCTCCATCACTGAGCTTGGGTTCATTACAGAGAAAATCATAAAACTGAAGACAAACAAATACTATAAAGCTGTGACCTCCATACACTTGAAATCATCCCTGATGTTCTCGTCACTGTTTTCAATCCTTCTGAGGATCCGGCGTCTCTTCTCCGGTGGTTTATTGTCGTCCAGACACAAAGTAGGATGCAGGTTCTCCTCCGTCAGCCGTTTGTCAACAAAGTGAAATGAGCACACATCCAGCGTTTTGGGTGGTCTCTTCAGGTTCAGAGTTTTCAACCACATTCTTCATAGAGTGCATTCACACCAGCCCTGTTTAGTCCGCTTTAATCGAACTCTAGCTCGTTTTCCTAGAAAGTCTGATTCGTTTATGGAGGTGTGAACGCACCATCGAACTCTGTCACGGAACAAAAAGGCGAACTCTGGCCCGGGCTAAAACCTAGGTCTCGGTCCAGTAGAAGAGAACTCCAGCGCGGTTCGAGTACAGTGTGAATGTAAACAGACCGGACCCGCTCCACAGGACAAACAAACACACATTGCTTTTACCTTATATGGAGCCGTCAGCTGCCTTGTGTGGAAAAACAATATTCTCCATGGTCTTCTGTCTCATCTTCTGCTCATGCTAAGTCCATTTTTGAAAAATGACAAAATATAACTCCTAAAACTGCAAAAACTTGATGCCACTTCGTTTTTATTTTTATTTACAGAAGAAGAAGAAGAAGTGTCTTCAGAGGTTTTTTGTGTCGTTTCTTTCAGTAGTTCTTGGTGCAGCGCCCCCACAGGCGAGCGGGGGAACAGGTTGGTTCAACAGGTTGACTCGACTGCACATTGCAGTGTGAATGCAAACGCACCAGCTCAAATGTAAACAAAAGCTCATGAATATTGGTCCCAACCGAACCGAGTCTACCGGACTATCTGGTGTGAAAACGACCTTAATTCCTCATCTGTAGGTAGGAGATGGAAACTAGACCTCTTTTCACAGGAACTCTTTTTGTTTTGGGTCCGTGTACAAACTCTGTTGTTGTGGTCACTGATTTAGTTTGGTCTGGTTGTTAGTGCAGCCCTGTACACAACAGGTACCTGAACTCAGCACAGCTATTTTAATAAACGTTATGGTTGTTAAACAAATGTAAACAAAACAAGAACAGAGTGTTATCTGCTAAACTGAATGCAAGTAACTTTCAAATAAAGTGCGGTCCATGCTCTGCTACCATGGCTAACCAATGCTCACTGCTACTTCCTGTCTGACAGGAAGTTGTACCATAATCATTTATACTGTAGAGCCACCAGGAAGAAGGTGGATAAAGAAGAATAGGATAAATTTCTTCCATGACAATGTGCGAGACTAACGAAGTAATAAAGACTATCACTTTACGTTATTATGAGGAAGATGGTTCTTGGAGCAGCTGAATTCTGAAATGGACATTTTATTTCTTTTTTCCATTTATACTTACTTCATTCTATAACTGTTGAAACATTTCAGATAAAAGCATCAACATTTTTAGAGTACCAGCTCATAATTGTTTCCCGTCGCAGTGCCAAGAGGA